CCTTCAGCGACCGAATACGACCCCCCCCCCTTCCCCAGCTAGGAGACCCTCAGAGTACGACTCGCCCCGGTAAGCTCTGCAACGTTAGGATACTCGAAGATCCTTTGAACTGGTTTGGTCCTCAGGAATTGCCCAGAGGATTGAAACTAGCACCCAGAAGCGAACTACATATGGTTGGAGCGAGCTCCTTCCCTTCCGAAGACTCTTTTCTTTGTCCCTCAACCCCTGTAACCATTAGCTTCGAGAGAGGTATTTGACCTCCCACACCTTCAGACATTCTGGATTTCTTTTACTTATGCCAATGAGGTTTGAAATAAAACCCTTATTCAGACGGAGGTATTGTTCCGCTCTACTAACGCTACTAACACAACACTGACGATCAGTGAAAACTTGGATGGATTGAGCATTTCCATCACCGGATTTTGGGAGTTATCGCCAGGAGGTCGGAAGAGCCAGAGCGAGGAAGGCGTTAGGTAGGGTAGCTCACTAGTGAAGAGCTGCGAGCCTTAAGGTCCCTTAAGAGACGAAAGGCTGAAACGTCAGGTGGAATGGAGGATCTTCCAAGAAGTGAAAGGAAAGAGGAAAAGAAGTGGAAGAAATGCAGTAGCTTCCCCATAAAAAAACTAAGGAGACTTTCAAGCATATTCGATAAGGAATGCCTTTAATGATTCTTGATTCTGACTGTTGATTCTCATGAGAATGTGAGGACATAGGTAATTGATCAGCACATTACCTATGAGCCCACATTCTCATGAGCAGGTTGACTTCGAATGAGCTCGTTGAAATGTAGCTGCGTGGTTGAAATCTAGCTGCGTGGGCAAGGGGAAGCTGAGAGGCCTAATACGGCAACAGCGTCAACTGTTTGTGACGCAAAAATGGAGAGCTGCTTGAATCCCGACTCGGATTATGCTCCAAATCTGTGGAATCAATGCTTCAGGGCCCTCCTTGCACAGATATGTGAACCGGTTTTTCACTACTCTTGCACGGAATTGCACTTCGTCTACTCATATCCATCCCAGATGGCCATATCAGATTTCAATCCAGTATCCCTGAGGCTTTGGATACTGTAAATAGAGCATAGTGGCTCGATATGTTCTGTCTGTCAAGTCTCTTAATGATGTGAGTATGGCTAATGGCGTTATGAACACTGCCAACTGGGGTAAATCGGTCAGTTTGCCGTTGGTAATAGCACTTAAGT